GGCTCTGTGCTGACAGTGTGGAGCCTGCTTGGGATTCTGTCCCTCTCTCCCTCTCTCTGCCGCTTCCCTGCCTGCTCTCTCAAAATAAACTTTAGACTCTTGATTTCTGCTCAGGTCATGATCTCCTGGTTCATGGGATCGAGCACCACGTCAGGCTCTACGCTGACAGGGTCTGCTTGGGATTCTCTCTCCCCCTCTCTGCCCCTCCCAGCTCGTGGGCTCTCTCTCAAAATAAGTAAATTAAAAAAAAAAAAATTAAAAAGCTCAGATAAGACCATTTAACTGTATTCTGTGTTCAGCCAGACAGCAGCTTTCCACTTAACGGGCATTATTCAAACAGCAAGGGTCATGAAAAGCCTCCCCCTGAAGTCTGGCCAGGCCTGTAAACGAAGGCCTCTGGATGCTGTTCATGAGGTGCCTGGTAATTTACTGGTTTGGGGCCAGCTTCAGGCCAGGCTTGACCCAGCTCACAGCATGTCACAGGGGCCTGGGGCCATGTGAACACCGGGGCCCCCCTCCTCAATCCACCCGTATCCAAGGAGGGGGCACCTCTTCCATGAGGCCTGAGGCAGGTGTCTGAGCAACAGCCCAACCTGAACCAATCTTAGGGAGGTTATACTCAATGGCATAGCCAGGATCTGGTCCCCAAAAGGGATGAATTCTCAAAGGAAGGCATGGAGGTTGAGGCAACAAAAAACCCCCTGCACCAGAATGACAGGAACGTCCATGGCCTCTACGCCCGGAACTCTGCCGACTTCGAACGGAGCTTCAAAGTTGTCCAAAGTCCTTCATGTGCAGATGGGCCAGAGGTTTGCACCCGGCTTCAGACACCAAGCAAACTCAACCAAAAGCAAAAGGATTTTTTACACATTCGTTTTAAGTTCGTTTATTTTGAGAAAACGCGGCATGAGCAGGGGAGGGGCAAACAGAGAGAAACAATCCCACAGTGCAGAGCCTGATTCTCCCGGGACTGTGAGACCGTGACCTGAGCCAAAATCAAGAGTCGGACACTTAACCAACAGAGCCCCCCAGGCACCCCTGTTCCTGTACGAAGTCCATATTCAAGAACAGCCAAGAGTCACGTTAATTTCAGGTGCACAACCAGTGACGCCCTGTCAGCTACACCTCAGTAACTAGCTATGCTCCCCCCCAAAACAAAACACACAAACTAAGTATTGATAAACCGAAACAAAACACAAAACCCCACTGTGGGGGGAAGGACACAATAACCAAGTCGTTTTTTGTTTTTTTTCACTGTGGTTAAAATGTACGGAATACGTACCACATCTAAGCGCACAGCTCACGGGCGGCAAGTGCACTCACACTGTCATGCAGCCACCCCCTCCATCCGTCTCTAGAACCTTCCATCTCCCGAAACTGAGACTCTCCCCACGAAGCACTGACTCCCCGCCCCCCACCACACCCCCCACTCCCACCATCTACTGTCTCTGTGGACGGGACCCCCCCGTGAGTGGAGTCACATGGGACATGACCTTCTGTGTCTGGCTTCCTTTGGCAAACAACATATGGACGTTCGGAGGCACAGGGGAGACGTGTACCACCGTTAGGCTACAAAGCTGTCACTTGGAAAACCAGGCTTGATCCACAGACAAGAGGAGCTTGAAACAGACCCATGTCCACCTGGGAATCCAGAGGAGTGTGGCAATTCGGGCAGTAAGGACCCGCTAGGCATTCACAGTATCAAGAGCACCATCCGTCCCAGGGAGAAAAGATACATCCCCAAGTCATACCAAGCCCAGGAGCAAATCCCAGAAGTCAAGGTCACGTGTAAACATACCAACGTTAGGAACAGACGTTTGCAAAAACAAAAAACGGAAAAAGCTCTCGCAAACTGCGTAACTGACCAGGGACTTGTGCGTGTTAAGCGTGTATAACACACCTGCACACGGGAACCAACAGCACCTGCAGCCTGGTCGGACAGACAGCCAGCCAGCCAGCCCGATCCTGCCACGGACGAAGGATCTGAACAGACCTCCCTCCAAAGACGACGCTGAGGTGGCCAGTAAGCACACAAACGCTGCTCAGCGTGGCCAGGCGTCAGGGAAAAGCAGCCCGGGCGACGGCGAGGACGCAGAGGGCAGGGGTGTGCGGACGAGACGTGGGGCGGCTGCGGTGCTGACCGCCGGGCGGTTCCCCCAACAGGCAACCAGCCTCCAGGCGACCCGGCAATTCTACTCCCAGATACACGCCCGAGAAAAATGAAAACACACGTCCACGCGAAACTCGTGGTGAATGCCCACAGCAACGTTATTCGTAACTGCCAAAACGTGGAAGAACTCGCCGTCCAATGGCGGGCAAATGGATACACACATGTCCACGGCACACGCGCACGTCCCTCGACCGCGAGAAGGAGCGAGGCGCCCACCCCCGCCACCCCGCGGACGGACCCCGAACGCATGATGCTCAGGGAGGGAACCAGACACGAGAGGCCACGCGAGGTGTGAGTCCACGTGCGTGAAACGTCCAGAACGGGCTCATCCACGGACGGGAAGGGGGCTCGTGGGGGGCCGGGGTGGTGGTGGGGACGGGGTTTCCTCTGGGGTGACAAGTTCTAACACTGACAACACTAAGAGCCACTGAACGGTGGGCTGCGAATGGGCGACTTGTGTGGCACATAAGTTACACCCCGATAAAGCAGTTATTAGAAAGAAAAGCAAACCTGGGGAAGACTTCCTGAAATCAGACGGTAACGGGAGGACGCTGGGTGATCTCACTGCAAACTTCTGCGTGAGAAAAGCAGCAGGAAACCAAGTCGAAGCAACACGGCAGCACTGCCTGCCTCGCGCACGTGGACAGGGCCCGATGCCCGCCGTCCACCCCCCCCCCCC